AGATCTACGGCTATGTCCTGGTGTACATCGACGACCTCCTGATCCATGCACAGGAGGAGGCAATGCACGGTTTCTTCAAGTGGGTATCCTCTAAGTGGGAGGTTGATGATTTAGACGTTCTCGACTACGACCACCCGATTAGGTTCCTGGGAATGGAAATGCACAGACTTGCCAATGGGGTTGAGTTGGCTCAAGAGGGCTTTGTGAACGAGATCCTCCGGGCACACAACCACAAAGTGGGAAGGTCTCAATCCCAGGGACCAAAGGAGACCCTTCTTCTGAGTGATGAGGAGGAGAGGGCGTTGATCGAGGCGGAGCAGATCCCGGTGGACCAGAAAAACCCGGCGGTCAAAGAAGCGCAAAGGAGAGTTGGAGAGCTCTTATGGTTAATGGGCCGTACGAGACCGGACATACGACACACGTCTATAATGGCATCGAGGATTACAAGGTGTCCGGAAATGGTCAATCGAGTGGGCGAGAGGTTGCTTGACTACTTGAACGAGACGAAGTTCTACCGTTTGGGCCTTACGCAGGACGCTGAGGAGGTGATCCCGGAACTGCATGTCTACACGGACAGCTCGTTCGCGCCTAGTGGCGGACAGTCCCAAGGGGCGGCTGTGGTTTTTCTGGGCTCTAGTCCTTTGGTGTGGAGGGTTGTCTACCGCAGAATCGGAGTTGTTGGAGACTGTGGAGGGAACTCAGTTGGGGCTTTCTACAAGAGGCCTCGTCACGGAGATCAGTGGCAAGGAGCTTCCAATCGTGGTTTGGGTTGACAACAGTGCAGCAGTCTCTCTCCTCACTACAAGCTCGGGTTCTTGGAGAACTCGGCACTTGAGGTTGAGAAGTAACTGGGTTCGTGAAATGGTGAACCGACTGGAGCTCTATGTGAAGTTCACTCCAGGAGAATTTCAGCGGGCAGACCTTGGAACCAAACCTTTTGCAAGGGAGAGAGACTACGCCAGTTGGTCAGAATGTGGGGAATGAAAGACAGAAGAGAACAAACTGATTCAAGGCAACAAAAGAAGATGGGTGTGGAAGCATCATGCCTGGGTCGACTTCTACTTCTTTGTCAAGTTTGTGGTTCGGCAGCTCAGAAACAGGACATCAAGGCCGAGGTTCCGTGGGACTTGTATTTGGTCATATTGGTCCTTGCTGTGGCTGTTATTGGTTTGTGGGAAGGGATAAAGCACTGCTGTGGCGAACGGGGAGCCAAAGTGAAGGCTCTCAGAGCGTCGGCTTCGCGGGCCTCCAAGGGCAAGTTGATTCGTATTGAGTTAAAGGAGTTGCAGTTGCTGATGACCTATGATCCAAAGGACCTTACCGAAGAGCAGAAAGAAAGGCTTTGCGACTTGAAGGAGAAGTTTGATGACACTATGCCAACAGGATGTTCTGATGTACCTCGCTTCCCAACGGACGATCCTCCAGTGCCCTCAGGTACCGATCAACCTTCCTCCTCTTCGGCATCATCCTTTACGCCGGGGAGGAATAAGCAACCAAAGCCAAAGGAAACAAGGGATCAGTCCACTCAGGCTGATTACCAACCGGCCTTTACCAGAGTTCCTCCCGCACCACCACCCGTGAGAGAAGTCGTTGCGGGCCCATTCTACCAAGTACCGGGACGAGATCACTTACACGTTTTCCGTGAATGCTGGGGCCTGAGGAATGCCGGCAATGTTCAACGTGTGACTTTGTGCCGATGCTGCTTAGAGAATGGCGGCAATCGCATCTATTGGTGATGCATCCCTGGCGGTCGCACCAAGGAGGAGTGCAGAAAACTCTAGCCGCCTTCATGTATAGCAAGCTCTTGAGTGCCGGGAACCAGCTTAGCATGTGCAGAACGCTTTGCAGAACCGGTTGTGATGAATGTTCTGGCTCTAGTCTGTGAAGAAGTTCGAGGCGATCGAACCAAGCAGCCTAGATGACCAAAGAGCCCAACATGGGCTATCATGATAGCAGCTTATGCATAGGACAGACTGTCAGGCATGTGCTGTGGTCGCAAAAGTTAGGACTTCTTTCGTGCATGGTCTGTGGCGCAGCCCTCGTCTGCATAAGTCCCCGACCCAACAACGTGAAGTTTGTGATCGAAGAGTATCTTTAAGGGCCTAGGGTTTGGAGTTGCCAACAACAAACATCACTCAGCAGGCTGGTGCACGGCATCAAGACTTGAGTTTCCTTTGGCACTCCAAACTCTACTATCTCGTACATCCGGAGGTGAGAAGAGAAGTGAGTGGGAAAAAACCGTGTCCCTAAAGGCACGTGGATAAAAAACCCACCCAGGAGTGAGAAGGCCCGGATCAGGATGCGGCTAAACCGCCCCCCCCCCCCCCCCCCGCGCAGAATCTTCTGGAACAGTCAGGCTGGGTTCTGGATCCAACGAAGTCAGGAAGGAGCGACGACGTCAATACCAGTTGCCCTGATGCCGACGAGCAGACTAAGCCACACCAGCACATCACTGCACACCACGTGTCTATGCGAACACCCCGTGAAGTGCAACTTCGCAGACTGCCGGGTAGTTGGATGCCATCCAACCTCTGGTTGGAGTCGTCGCCAAACGTCAAACTTTGCAGGCTGCTGGGTAGCTGGATGCCATCCAACCTCTGGTTGAACTGGCCGCCAAACCTCAAACTTTGCAGGCTGCTGGGTAGTTGGATGCCATCCTACTTCTGGTTGGAGCCGTCGCCAAACGTCAAACTTTGCAGGCTGCTGGGTAGTTCCTGCAGGCCTGTCCTTTGTTGAATTCTGCGCTTTCGCCTTTTTTAAATTTGTACTTTTGGAGGGCGCGTCCCTGGATTTTGTCCTTTCGGATCTGGGGCCCTTTTGGCGGTTTTCCGGAAGCCTTCCAAGAGCTTTGTCGGCCATTTTGGACAACGTTCGGCTTCGAATTGAAGTGAAAATCCATCGTGTCCGGTGCTGTGTGCACAAGGTTTGCCTTCTTTCTCTCCCACCCCACATCGTATAAGGCGGCCAAAACCACGGAAATGCCCTCCTGAAGTTTCGCATCATGACAATCTACCCGCTCGCAAGCATCAGGAGAATCAGAAAAGCGGAAAATTTGAGCCTTTAGCGGAATATTTGAGCCAGAAGTTCTTAAGGTGGGGGCTTAGAACTTAGGGTTTTTAGGGTAGGTTCCAGAAACAACGCTCTCGAGTCTTATTCCAGGTTTTTGGGTAGGTTGCAGAAACCACGCTCTCGAGTCTTAACCCTTTAAGGTTTTTGGGGTAGGTTCCAGAAGCCACGCAAAACCACACCCTCGAGTCTTAAGGTTTTTTGGGTGGGTTCCCGAAACCACGCTCTGGAGTCTTAACCCTTCAAGGTTTTTGGGTGGGTTCCAGAAACCACGCTCTCGAGTATTAACCCTTTCAGGTTGGGAGTTTAGGGTTTAGGGTTGAAAGTAAACCTTTTCGAGTGCTCTCGAATCCGATCTAGGATCATAAACCGTCGGAATAGTTGGGGTTTAGCGTTTAGGGTTAACCTAGGGTTTGGGGCAAAGTTAAGGTAGGGTTGCTTCAGAAACTGTTCCTTCTCGATCTGAAGAAACATAAAGCCCTGCGACCCAGAAAGCTTTACGGTTTGGGGTTCGGGATCATGGCCAGCTAAGGCTTTTCACCTGTTTCAGAGGCTGGGGAACATCGTGGGGTTCTGTTGATCGGGGGTTCTTAAGATTGGTCTGCAGTACATAATCGAGCGCTGTGTTTTGGAGGACTGGAATCTCGGGCTTGAAGGCTCTCGGGTCTATGGACACTAAAGCTTGGTTCTAGCGACCGGTTTGTACGTTAGAAGGAAAACTATGAGGGTTATTACTCGATCTATGTCCTTAAATCAAGGAGCGATTTCCAGAATTGGTCACTTCGTACTCTTTACCCCGCGCATATCTTCGCATTCTTCTGCAAAAGCCACCTCTGTAAGATTCGCTTCGAAAGCGACGTGGAGTGAACTGCGCCTTTGGCGACTGCGCACACTTGACCTATCCAGTCCTCTTCGGAAAAAACATTGACATATTTTTGGATTTAAACGACTGCCTTCTTCAATCCGGAGCACGATCTGACAGTGGAATGCATGTACTTTCGGACGAACTTTGTACCTAAGCTTTCTCCAAAACACAACAGATCCACTATACTTATATTGTCCTATGTTCTAGGGGTTTAGGGTTCAGGGATTCAGGGTTAGGGTTTTTATAGGGCCCTTAATTAAAGCAATATATGTGCCAAGGAAACACGACTTTCACCAAGCAACCGTGCAATTAGCACAAATTCTTATATGCCCCAATATATTGTCCCCAAGCTGCAATGCTCGAGTGTTCTGCAGAGCTTCCTCCGCCAGCTTGATATAGCACTGAACGTAAAGGCGACCACTCCTCGGATCGGATCGTGTGGTTAAGGGATTGATGATATTGTATCATGGTTGGCTTGTTTGGCAATACTTAGATAAATAAATGGGTGTCCTCGATAGATACTTGTTTTGTGTGAATAGTTGATCGGGTTCAGTTTAGCCCTGCAAACATTTCAAATCCTCGACGTGTATATAGATCCAACCCATAATAATGCGGGAAGGGGTCTGTACTAGCAACGCAGCTTCACTGTCAGTGAGCCAGATACCAGCATTGTCGCAGACGTCACCAAACGTGTGAAGGGCCCAACAGCAGACACTTTGCACTTTCATCGCCGGCTGGTCCTCGGATTTGGAAACCCCTTACACTCTCAAAGTCGCAAAACCCAAACTTTCATGCGAATGCAACCTCGTTGCTTGCAGTGTCTCAGCGAAATACGCAGTCCTAGGTTGGTACCGACGAACATACGGAAGATACTAGCTGTAATTGTTGATACGAACACTTAGAAAAATTGTTGGCTATATATATGCCGAGGAACAAAACCTTGTTTGCGTAGCCTTTGGACGGCCCCAACGGATAATCCAGGCTGAGGGTCTCCACACTAAGTCGTGAAAGACCTAGCTGGGGTAATCTTCATAATTAACCAAACCCGAACAGTGTTTCGAAATATTGCCTAATTAATTAGGTCCAAAATACTTAGCTCCTCCACGGTCGATGGCCTGATGTTGTTCTCCGAGCACCATGTCTGCATGTCTCGTCTCAGCTGTCGCAATCTCTCGTCGTACGTACTACCAGTGTAGCTTCTGCTGAACTCCACGATCTGAAGGCACAGACTGCCTATCAAGTCACGCCCGGTCCCGGTCCAGAGCGTGTGAAGCAAATCTGGAACCTCCATTTCCGGCTGCCAGCCGGGCACCGTCTTCAGCGGAATGTCGCCCACGGCGGTCAAGCGTGCTGTTTGCAAATCGGCCGGTGCATTAAAACGTTCTTGCGCGTCTAGCCACGTGTCGCGGGTACATAAGCATCTCGGACACAAGCCATCTGTACTGCTCTGCACCTTCATATAGTGTCGTGATTGCATTAGCCATTCCGCTCTCCACTTCCAGTCGCCCTTCCCCGCAATGATGTGAAGAGTATGGCCCAAACCGTTGTCAGGCGACGCGCATTGCCGAAGCGAGCAAGCTAGGTCCCTTTGGAACTGTTGAAGAGAAATATTTACCCCAGCTTCGTCGTACGCGAAAAAGTCCGATTGCATAACCTGGAATCTGGATATATGTTTCATACCCCAAATTAAAGAGAAACTGAACCGAATGTGTTAATTCGGCCAGATTGCAAGGTACGGGTATTTCGTGTACATTGTTTCGCCAGTTACAGCCACCGGGCTCCAGCTCAAAACGAGAACGTTCTTCTTTCTCTTCGATTGCCCCTCATCCCCATGTATGGTGATGCCGTATGCGGTCGCTCTGCTTGCTTCATCCCAGCTCTGTACCGGGTGAGACCTCCCCCAGTCTTCAGTTTTGGCTTGGGACCAAAAATCCAGCCAGTTCGTGTCTCCGGACCTCAGCTGCTGTCTAACGGATGTATAAAAATAAGGCTTATACATAAACAGTTACTTTAAGGATAGGGTGATATATGACTTTGCAGGTCACACATAGGTATAAGGTTGAACTGTAAGCTTTCAGGGTCTAGGTTTCGGGGCTTAAGGGATGAGTCTAGATCACCCCGCGAATTACAGACATGGCACAGCTCGCTCACCATTCCAGCCGAAACCAGTGCACTGAAAATATCAAAAGGCCGGAAAACTGGCCACTTCTCGTACATCGTCGGAGTGGGTTTCGCATTCTTGCTTTTTTTTCTAGGCTTAGCCTTAGCTTTCGATTTAGCTCTGGCTCCTTTCATTGCCGATGCTGCCCTGCGAAGGAGTTGCCGCCTCTTAAAGGTCATCGCCCGGTTGCTGCCGCGTTTGCGTGCCACCCGTAAATCCTTCACCAGCACAGAAACCATTGAAAGTCCACACTTTAGTGGTGCCTTAGATCGACAAGGAAACCTGGTTGTATATGTATGTTCATATTTTGGGGATCCACTGAAATCCGAAACTGAAGCCCAAAGAATTGATCCGAATTCCACCGAAAAGTCGAAAAGGCACATCGCTCGAAGAAGCACTCGCTGCTCGGTGCAATGTCTCCTCGATGTGATTCTGACACTTTCCAGAAGCTCCCATTCGAGATGCCCACAGAGTACCTGAGATGCATACATACATACATACATGCATACATATATATTTACATACATACATATTCCCCCCCCATAAGCAGTGTATAAAGTTTCAAACACATACACACATACATACTTAACTTACATAAGTTCTCACGAGGGGCTCTTAGAAACGTGATGGGCCCCTGATTCGGACACTGCAGCCGAAGCCAGCTTCTGCATCATAGAAGCAGCACCCCCTCTACCCACATTCCAGGCCAACTGCCGTGTAAGTGGCGAGGATTTCAGCGAAAAGTCAGAACTGCTGCACTTTGGCAACTCCGAAGCCAACTCATCCTTTTTTCGTGCCAGTTGTTGAGCACGTCTCAGCATGGCATCTACGTTCTAAAACACCAGGAAACTGGATATGTGTAGCTACGGGAGGGCATGTACATATGTATGTATTATTTATAAGGGCTAGGGTAAGTATAGTAAGTATTGGGTTTAGGGTTTAGGGGTTTGGGACGAGGGTTTAAGGTTTGTGTTTCGAGTTTTGAGGATGTTACAACTAGAATGTTCAGTATGTGAACAACTCGGATCCTAAAGGCTATCCCGAGCCTGGCAATTTGCATTCGAAGTGGTGGTACCACATCATAAGGCTCCCATGCAAAAGCTCGAAAAATCACTCAGCAGCTATTCTTCACTCACCGTGTGTTGCGAGATTTGATCGACTAAGTGCCACAGTCGTGTTCAGCACGACTGTGCGGTAGCCTTCCCTACCCATAGCACTGCTCCCTATGCAAGCGACCGGAATCTGCAGACCCCAGCATATATATCAGATTGGCATTCCTGCCACATGCCTGGAGCAGGCTCGAACGTACTAGGCTTGACAGTTGCAAGCGAACTCAAAAACAAGCCCATTGGATATCGACATGTCCCAGCTGAACTGAGTCATCATCCGCAGCAGTGAATTAAGGCCTAGCAATTCTAGCACTAGCTCCGGGTCTAGCTGGCCTAGGTTTGTATGGGATTACAGCTTTCTGGAATCCGGACAGCAGTAGGACAGTCGATCGAAGCAGCAGCAGTAGCAGTAGAGGTATTTCGAGCAACAGTCTAGCAGGGTAGTTCTACAGGGCCATTAACTACCGAACGTGCATCGACCCTTAATTCCTGAACCCTGGAAGTCCCAGACCCAAAACCCTGGACCAGTACAGAATTTACCAGGCGCCCGGACCGAAAACCCCAAGCCTAAACCCGGAACCTGTAGCCGTATTTGCCCGTAACCTCACTCCCAAACCCCAGACAAGCTGGCTACTGACCAGGTGCAGCTCGGGACGCTTAATGATCTTTGATAGTTGGAGGGCTTGGGATGTAAGTTCAGGTCTAGTTAAGTCAATGAAGATATAGGCTCAACTTAATGGTTCAGCTGGTCATGCAACCGATGGCGCTTTCTCTACCGGGGCTGCCTTAGCAGCCGACTTCGCCTTTTTCTTCGGCTGGGACACACGAGCCTCGGAAGAAATCCTGGGATATGTGGCGAGAGGCATTGAGAGATATTACGGGAGTTAATGGTGATATTGGGGATGGCTCTACGAAGCTACGGTCTTGGTTTTAAGGGCAGAAAGACGTAAACTGTTGCATTAGGTTTCCACGGGTTCGAAAGGGAAACTATTCAGAGGCAAGTTTCAGGTTCGACGCCACCCTTTGGTGCTTCTTGAAAGCCTCCACAAACGGTGCCGCCTTAGATGGGCTAGATCGAAACAAGTTCATTTCAGCCTTTGTGCTAAAATATTTCAACGTAGGCAAGAAGCTCGGGCAGTGATGCGATGCACGTCTGGAGCCGATGGGTTCTTACCAAGCCCCTGTAGCATTTTCCGTGCTTCTGAAATCCCGGTGATAGCGTCAGCTATCAACTTGATCAAAGCATCTTGGGATTCCAAAGCCTCCAGCCTCGGATGAACCATCATGGGCATGGGTGGATCCTATCTCTAACAATAAGTCCAGACACTCACCCTTCATCGTTGTTGCTTTCCCTTCGGCTTGTGTTGCGGCCTGAACCCAATGGCGCACAAACTCCCCCACATTCTTCTCGTCCATGATCGTGGCTTCAAGATCTGCCCCCTGGAGCAAACTCCATTCATGAATGTGTCGCACCACACACACACACACACACACCCTCACACATTCAACAACGAGCCAGATCGAGCCTGGGGTTTCGGAGCTTTCGCTTTCTTGATTTTGGGCTCAGGTGGTGGTTCCTTTGGGTTCGGAGCTGGATCTGCAGCGCTGGAGGGTCGCGGAGGTGGTGGGGGACCTGCGGGTGCTCCTTGGCCGATAACATTCCCTTTCTCGAAAGACTCCATCAGAGAAGCAGCGAACCGAGGGTCGCATCCAAGCTCGGCCGAGATTTCGTCCTTAGTTCTGGTTTGGGAAATAGAGAATCGAAGTTGAGGGTTAGTGTATTTAAGGCGGAAGATTAAAGATCTAGCCTGGGCACCAGGGAGCGGGTCGTTAAAGTACGTCGCTCCCGGCCGTAGTACAAAAAGGTCTCCACAGTGGGATCGTTCCGATCCCAGCTGGTCCTGAGCTTCAGCAAGATACAGTGTTAAGGATTCGCGATTGAACAGGTTGCAATATTGCACTAGTTTTTATTCCTGGGCACCCTTTCGCTTGCCTTCGGCGCATTTCAATGAAGGTTTTGGCTTTCTCGAGGTCACCCGAGTGGAAGTCCAGGATTTCGGTCCAGGGGTAGTAAAGTCCTGCAACATGTGCAGAAACGGTAAGGGTTCAGGGGTTTAGGGTAACATATAAGGGTTTTGAGGAGTATTATTGCTCATAGCCGAATATAGGGATCTATAATAAGTAGATCAAGACTACGAAGGAGTTGTAAAATCCAGGGCATTGATTTTCTGTAGGATTTCAAAGTTTGGGTTTAGGGTTTAGGGGCTTACAGGTTCATAGCTTCGATCGGGAGTTTATGTCTAGGTTTATATAGGATTATACACACCGACCTTCGTCTTTTTGTTCTTCTTCTTGTTGTCGTCGAAATCGCAAGACTGCTTCCAGTTCCAGGCCTTTGCCTGAGTAAGTACTGCTAACATGTTGGTTCCAACCAATATATATGAACAGACTTAAACCGGTCAAGCCAAGGATCAACCAGACTGCACGAACTTCTGGAATGCCTGGAGTTTAAAGGCACCTCCTTTCCTTATTGTGGCACATCATGAATAGAATAAGCGAAACCACCAGAAACGAATCGAGGCATTTCTGGATTGCTTAACAGGCTCTCATAGGCGCTTTTGAGTTCGCCGGCATGTTCGTGCCTTTCACAGAACCTTATGAAGTTCTTGTACTCGCCCGGGTGGCTAGCGGAATTGCATCTCGTCGGCACCAGTTCGGTGGTCGTCGGCCCAACAGTCGCCGGGGATGGTGCCACAGGCGGTGGAGCGGGTGCACTCGGGGGCGGGGTTGCCGCCGTGCTCGCTTTCGGCGGGGGCGAACTCAAAGTGGTTGGCGACGGGGTCGCTGGAACACTCGCGGTTTTGATCTCAGCAAGCATCTTCGCGATCGCTTCCATAGTCGATGGATCGCTCGAAAGGGTTCGTAAAAGGTCTTGCAAAGGTCCCGGGCTTGCTTGTTTTTCTGTCGTCACGATACCTAGGCTTGTGTGTCAAAGCCAAACTTGAGACTTGAGAGTTTCATGGACGTTAGCCAAGCTGCCAGCAGTGGATGCTTCGGGTGTTGTCCCAACAGCACCTTGGATATCTGGGACACGGCATAAAAACTATACTTAGAAAATGCTTACAAACTGGTTGTTACCAAGCTGCCGGAGTTCGCCGTACTCTCCACGAGACCTTGGTTGTGTCACAATCAATGAAAAACCTTTGTACAACACGTGTTCGAAACAGCTATGTTGGCCAAGTTGCCAGCAGTGGATGCTTGCGGCTCTGTTGTTGTACCTTGGGGTCTGCACTATCTGCCACTGCGCCTCCTATTGCCTTGCATATCGTGCTGGGCAAGTTGCCAAAGAAGCACGTGTGGGGGGTTGGGCTTGGAATCATCACCGGAGCCGCTGCAGTACCTTGGATATTTGGGTGTTTCGATATGTTCACTAAGTAACAAGTCAAGGCGAGTTGCTAGCCGTGGATGTGGTTGGGCTCGGAATGATCGAAGGAGTCGCCGTGGTACCTTAGGTGCGTGTGCGATTCGATGTGTTCATGCTTAAACGGTGCTGGCCAAGCTACCAGCAGTGGATGTGGTTGGGCTCGGAATCATCGCCGGAGTCGCCGCAGTACCTAGGTTATTTGGGCGGTTCGTTTCTGCTGAAAAAGTAACAAGTCAAGGCGAGTTGCTATGAACGGGCGTGGCTGGGCTCGGGGCCAACTCACCTGTAGCAGCACGTGACTCAAGCTTTGGCTTGCGTCTATTTGCCTCACATATTAGGTTATTAGGTGTCGAGGAACCAGCAGTCGAAGATGTCGATTCGGGACCCGGTGTAGCTGGCTCGGACCTCGAAAGCGGGATTGATCTTTGACTGTGATTTCAAGCTGGCACGAAACATCTCAATGCAGCTTAGGGTCAGGGTATCGAACGATCTGGAGCGAAGTCGGTTCCAAAAGCCCTTGTACTTGTTCTGTTCGGCTTCGCTCAGCACGGGGAGCTCAAAGTCATCCTCGCCCAACAAGCCCACATCCCGGAACCCAACCTGCATAAGTAAGTAAGATGCATGATGTTGTTTGTGCTATACATGTTTTTTTTATCAAACACATACACATGTAGAACTCATATATGTGTCGTAACGGCACGAAACACCTGGTAGATACCGGGAAACACAGACAGAATCACACATACCTAAAGGTTTAGGGGTTTAGGGGTTTAGGGGTTTAGGGTTTATTAAAGCCTAAAATCCAAACCATCACTGCGTACGAAACCACTATCAATCCTTCTTGGCTCGGTTGGCACGACCAGCTTTCGGAGTGCTCAGGATGCCGGGGCTCTTCGCAGCCAATGATGCCGAGGTGTCCGGGGTCACCAGCGTCTGTTCAGGGAATTTCAGGGCGGGGGAGTTTTCGGTATTAAGTCTTCAGTAGCAAAGATAAATCCCTCGAAAACGAGCGTATTGCTTTAACTACATAGCACCTGAATCACACGAGCTGGAAGACTTGAGTCGTCAAAGGAGGCAGCATGTGCTAGAGTAGACCAAGTACGTACGGGTGCCGATTTGGTGTGGTCTGGCTGTGCCTGCTGCGTTTGCTCCACCTGCACACTCTTTGTTGCTCTCTCGGCTGCGTCCTGCTGTGCTTGCTCCACCTCCAAGGTCTTGTCGACTCGAGCTTTTACTGCTGCGTCTGCTTTTTTGCTTGCTTCCAAAAACACCAGACGTGCTTGATCTGCTTCCCGAGCCAGGCGCTCGGCAGTGATCCGGTACTGGTCTGCTTGCAGCGCTGCGTCTGTTGCTTGAGTACGTAGCTGTCGTTCGGCCTGCTGGTCCAGTTCCAGTTGTGCCTCTTTGGCTGCTCGGTTGGCGTCGTCTTTCTGTGCCTGCTGGATCATTAGCTCTGTTTGCTGAATCAAAGCCGCCCTCTGCGCTGCTTTTTCGGCTTCGGCTTTCTGTGCTTCCTCCAGTGCTGCTTGTTCGGCTTGCGCTTTCTGCTGTTGCTCCAGTGCTGCCTGGTCGGCTTTGGCTTTCTCCAACGCTGCTTTCTCAGCTTCGGCTTTCTGTGCTTGCTCCAGTGCTGCTTGTTCGACTTGGGCTTTGTGGGCTGCGAGCGCTTGCTCCAGTGCTGCTCGTTTGGCGTTCTGCGCTTGTTCCAGCGCTGCTTGCTCGGCTTGGGCTTTCTGCGCTTGTTCCCGTGCTGCTTGTTCGGCTTGGGCTTTCTGCGCTTGTTCCCGTGCTGCTTGTTCGGCTTTGGCTTTCTGTGCTTGTTCCTGTGCTGCTTGTTCGGCTTGGGCTTTCTGTGCTTGCTCCAGTGCTGCTGCTTCGGCTGCTGCTTTCTTCGCGACTTCGGCCTTTTGTTGTCTCTTCTGCAGAAGCTCCTGGTACTTTGCAGCGGCTGCCCGGGCCGCTTCTAGCTCGAAATCCTCGTCGTCCATCGGCTCACCGTCCAAGGAGTTGATAGTAGGGATCCTCGCTAGGCTCTGTGTTTGGCCGAGCACCAAAGTTTCGGCACTATCGAGGTGGTGTAGCAGCTCTCTGTCCATGTCGGTATCCAGCTGGGTTTGGGCTTCCGCAGTGACATCCGGCTTTGCTGGGCTAGGCTCAGGATCGATACTCAAGTTGAGCATCCTCTTCGGGGCTTCGGGTCGGGCTTCACGGTTCTCTGGCGGGGTGTCCAGGGGTGTCGGTGCTTTCACCGTGGGCTCGGGTGTGCACGGAGGCTCCACGGGCGCCGCCACTGGTGCTGCTTTAGCCTTTGCTGCCATCGGCACACCGGCTGGTGGTCGTGCCTTCACCAGTACATTCCTTGGCGATTACTTTAGACCCCGAGGAACATAGTACTATAATAAGTACTACTTATATACATTTCCTCGGTAGGTTATATAGGATCAAGAGTATAGGAGTTTAGGACATTAGGACTTCAAAGGGGTTCAGTGTTTAGGATACATCAATATATGCTGGGGGTGTTGGACAATTTGGTGGATTAAGGGCACTGACAAAGGCTTCTTTATATTGATAGTATAACATGGATATAAAGCAGCCTTTGTCTATGCCCTTAATTCACCAAATTTAATGCTAGTAAAAATATATTAGACTAATATTGTGCCACTATATAGTTAGTACTATATAGATATATAGTACCATCCTACTAGTTATAGGCACTATAGTACTATATACTATATAGTACTACTAAGTATACGTACTATACACGAGGTGAACGTTACCATGTGAGTGCAGGTAGCAATATTTGCTAGATCATGGCGAGATGACACATTCGACAGAATTAGTTTTAAATCAATAATTGCAGAGCTTCACTCGTTCAAGCACCATCTGCTGCTGAGCAGGGCTTAAACCAAGGGTGCTCATGGCCAAAGCATCGATTGATGCTGCCATCTCGGGAGCCTGGGTCGGATTTGCTGCCATAGTACTACTTTGTCGACCTAGAATGCAGCACAAGACCTAGATCAGTCTAGAAACGGGTGCCGATTGTGGTGGCGGCTTTGCAGCTGCTTTCTTCACCATGGCTAAATCCTACCTCAAACGTACTCACATATGCCTGGAGCATCCAGTGTCGTTCGCATCGAATCTGATTTTCTAGGTTCAGGCAGAGAACCATAAGCATTATTTTAAATTTGCGCTTTTTGACGCTTTTTGACGCTTTTTGGACAGGTTTTGACGCTTTTTGGACAAGGGGTTCGTTGAGGGTAGGATCCGGATCCGATCCGGGATTTTAAATTTGCGCTTTTTGACGCTTTTTGACGCTTTTTGGACAGGTTTTGACGCTTTTTGGACACCTGATCCTGGGCTGACTTGGGAGGTGCAGACAACGTTTTCAAGGTGCCAGGATACTCAAACTTCTGGGTTCTCGCTCGATATTGGGTCTTATACAAGCCAAGCGTACAAGTCCGGCCTTCCAGGTGGAGCCACACACCCGCCGAAAGTACAAATTTAAACAAAGCTAAGAACCACAGTACCACAAAACAGGTCAGCGTGGACTAATATGACACCCGACAAACTGGATTTGACCACAGCACATATTCGATCAGAACTAGAGTATGTATATGGTCGATGCAAACGTGTGCATTAGACCGTCTACAGGATGGTGTGTTATGTTTCTAGGCCAAATAGCTACACCTAGCTAGCTGGTGTTACCTCGTCCTCCTGCTGTTTGGGCAGTAGAATTCACGTTGGGGTTCACGAGAACTGGTGTCGGTTGTGTACATACATCGTATACGTAGTATCTCTTTATAGTGTCGTTTATGCAGCAAACATTCCTTGGTGGTTGGTGTCCTGCATACACACGATCCCAGAACTGCTAGCTACCTGATCAACGAATTCACTCGCACATATATACAGAGATATGCAGGTATGTACATACAAAGATAGATAAATAGATAAATTAACAGGAGGTTAAATTTGATTAAAGACTACATTGTATACTACATGACATTGGTTCGATCGTCTTAAGGGTGCCTGGGCTTGAATTAAATCATAGCAGTACCTCGGGTGGGTCGTAAGTTAGGGAACTAGGTGTTGGGATCGTAGGTTTGCGCCTAGGGACAAGCCGAACTTGGTGCAGCCTCAATTCATAAACGGCAGTTAAGCTCTTTACCCCACTCGCACATAGAGTCCCCTAGCATCCTTTCTGGATGCACTGCCCGGTCCTTTCAAAGGAATGGGCTCGGCCAGCACGATGGCAAAGTCAAGCGCTGGCTCCGCATCATCCATTGAGCAACCTCGTAAAGCTGGTCCTGCGTCGGGGGGGTGGGTTGTGATTGTGTTGAACTATAGTACGGGCTGAAGTACTACACGTATGTCTCCTGATCATCCCATCCAATCGGCTGGGAAAATAGCAGTTGTATGTCTTCCGGGTCGTATTTCTCCACAAAAAGCAGGTCGTGCACTTCAGCACACCCCGCACATGGCTCCTGATCGAGGGAATAAAGCTATCATATATCCCAACACTGCACACATACATGCACACCTACATACGTACATGCGTACATACCTCGAACGTACATACATTCGTACATACACACATATATACTTACATATGTACACATACATACATACCTATACAACATACATTCATATCCCCATACATATGCACAGATACATGCATACACACCCACACACACACATACATACACATACGTATATACCCCCCAATGTATGCTTAAAGTTTCAGGCATACATACATACATACATGCATACACACACATAACCCCTAAAGCCAACTGTACAACGACACCAGAGGTTCATCCCTGTATATAAAAACCCAGGTTTGACCAGATCGAGTAACCTTAGGCATCCCCAAATTGAGTGGCCACAACACCACACACTAAACCATCCTCCAAAAGATTCGATGGCACTTCGATCGGGTATGTGTGATAGCTACTGTTTGCTCCAAGATTCTGTACTGGCTTCGTGGCAAGGCCGGCTCCATGCATCTAGAAGAGCTCGTGCAAAACACTCGGTATATGTCCTCGGCTTCGACTAAACATAAAACCCATGCAGAGGATTGATAAGAAGCCCAGGCAGCCGAGGCACTGTGTGCTTTTGACATCTTCCTGGACGCCCGTCTTGCGCTGCTGGCCTCGAGCCTGGGCTTGAACAACGTCGTTGGGTCAGGTCTTTGCAACTTGCCAGAACGGCTTAAGGTTTGCAATGGGGTTTAGGGGTTATACCTGATAGGTGTATACTAGGGGTTATACCGGATACGTGTATACTATGTAGAATGACAGCAGAGGAGCATCGACATGGAATTTCACGATGCTCTTCCGAACCTTTTTGAAGGCTGAAGGGCTTGGTGCGTTCTGTGATGAGAGAACTTGTAATTCCTGGCAGGGAATGGACATGAAGTGTTTTGTGCAGGGCACTGCAACCGCACGAAGTCCTGGAAACGGCGGTGATTCACATAGAGCAACGTAGGCTTTTTGGTTGTGGAACCGAACGAGGACATACAGACCCGCAGTCGATAGACCTAAGTTAGCAAGGCCAATTTTATGGATGGGCGAGAGAACGATTGTTACCTGCTCGCAATCGACAACATTCCTGAGTACTGCACTGTGAAGATTGAGCAAATTCTCCGAAACCCTGGAAGCCGTTCCATTCCTCCGGTGGCATGGTGTGCTGGTTGTTCCAAGCACATGAAGATGCCGGTCGCGTGGCCCAGGACCATGAGCAGCGCTGCCCTTTCAAGGCTTGCGTGGCGAAACTCTGTATGCATTAAATATTCAGCTAGATCAACACCTTGATGGCCCGACAGGCCTGATGGCTAGGAGGTTGCCTGATCGAACTGTCTCGCGGTCCTGCATCCCCTGCGGCAAAAGGGCACTTCGTCCCGACGTCCAGGCATTGAGCCAGCTCCACGATGAACCTGAGATCGGACATTTTGACATATACATACAGCTTTTGAAATCCTGAAATCCATTCTGGCTGGGGGAACCACAGGACTTATGATTAAGCACCGACTAGTAAGGGTCTAGGCCGGGTTGCCCTCATACTTCCAGGAATCCCTACCAACAAATCACCCCATATCCCTAGCATGAGATAGCTTGCAAAGTAAGGCATTATCCCGTGATTCCTGTTTCGCACAAAGCCGGCATCCTGACTGGAAGTCTTTATCCTTTAATCCCTGCTCGGTCTGGATGAATGAATCGGCATGCAGAACAAACCGGATCTAGTGAAGCCTGATCTAAGTTCCTAGCTTGCATACCTAGGTCTAACGAAGTGAACCGCATGAAAGGCTGACCAGCAATCATTGGAGATTATCGGCAATTTAAATCGAACGAGGACAGAACAATTCACTAGCATCTATAGTTTTACACACTCTCAAGGTGTTCTAAATGCTCCGGACATCCCAGGCACTACCGTGGCTTGCGACGTTGGAACTGGGCATACGAATAAATAATAGAACCCTAGCCCTATAATCCCTAATATTGTCGTCGTATTCCTCGTAGCAGAAGTACTGCGACAACCATGCAACCGCAAATGGGTCAGTCTTCCGAGCAGCGGCCACGGCATTATTGATTCGGCCATCGCAGTAGCTCGTAGGCTTCAATACAGTCACCCTGTTGCTTTACAGAAGTTGTAGTACGTAGCAGCAACAGAAGCATTTGTGTGAGTCTATTTATATATATATGTAGTAGCACCAGCAGCAGCAGCAGCAGCAGCAGCAGCAGGAGTATAGTAGTAGTAGTAGTAGTAGTAGTAGTAGTAGTAGGAGCAGCAGTAGCAGTAGCAGTAGCAGTAGCAGTAGCAGTAGCAGTAGCAGTAGCAGTAGCAGTAGTAGTAGTAGTAGTAGTAGTAGTAGCAGGAGTCTAGTAGTAGTAGTAGTAGTAGTAGTAGTAATAGTAGTAGTAGTAGTAGTTGTTGTAGTAGTGGTAGTAGTCGTCGTCGTCGTAGTGGTTGTGGTTGTGATAATGGCAGCAGTGGCAGTAGTACTAGTTCAGGCACTGGTATGCATGTGGCAATACGTAGGAGTGGTAGTGTGGTTGTATTGGTAGTGGTGGTGGTATATATAGGAGGTAGTGGAAGTCGTGGTAATTGTGGTGGTAGTGGTAGTATAGTATACTAGTAGTAGTAGTAGTAGTAGTAGTAGTAGTAGTAGTAGTAGTAGTAGTAGTAGTAGTAGTAGTATAGTAGTGGTGGGACAAGTACTATACCTGTACTAGTGCTAGTACTTGTACTAGTACTAGTATAGTACTAGTACTACTGTTGATGGACAAAATCCTGCATGACCTTAAGGACCCTAAACTATGGGAACTATATGGTATATTCCTTATATTGGGTCATGCAGGATTTTGTCCATCAACAGAAATACTAGTAAGTAGAAGTAGTAGCAACAGTAACAGCAGCAACGAATGTAGTGCCTCGTAGCCTTGCCTTTTGTAGTCGGACTAGAACACCCAACCTCAAGAATTCCCTTTAATTGAAGCCCTGCATTCGTGGGATCTCTCAAGCTGGCGGCCCCTCGGATATTGCGATTGATGGGAGAAGCTCAGGGTCTGGGCACTTAATTGTTAGCTCATCTACTTGCAGTGCTTCCACTCCGGACGACACCTATACAACTTATACTCATGGGCAACACCATCATGCCATCCCCATCAACATCATCATCAGCTATAGGGCTAGCTAGGGTTTGCATTGGAACATAAAGCGGATTGTATTAGATCTCAGTTCGGCGTTAGGGAAGTTCCGAGATCAGGATAGGGCTTCGGCTTCGGGTTTATGCTGATGGGGACCGATGCACTAATTTTGTTTTTGCTGACGATGATGCTTGATGATAATGGAGATGAACCACAACTGGCCTTTCGAAAGGGATCGTTAAACAATGTTGCGAATGGAAGCTTGCAGACCCCAGCAGCAAACCAAAGCCCGGCAACCAAAACACCACAAACCTCCAAACGTCCGAAAACGTGCCCCCAAGCCGATCCCAACCTCCAAAAAACCACTACGTATCACGTGCTCTAGCAGCACTACGAATGCTGACTACAAATTCTACCATAGTGCTAGAACTGACAATATCTTCTATATACCTGGGAAGTACGATTAGTGGTCGTCTATGGTACTATATACAACTACCTATCGTACTTCCCAGATATAGAAGATATTGTCAGTACATACTAGTTCTTGTATTGCTATAGTAGAAGAGTACTGTACCAAGACAAGTTCGAATCCTAGGCTATCGCAGCCGGGCCTGCAATTGCCAACTTCGAGCTGCGCTATTTACACCGAGTACATGCACTACAGGCTTCTTGCGACACTGGCGATTCGAATCCTAAACCCGAAACCCTAAACCCTAAAGCCCAGGGTTGTGGGTTGAGAGGGGGGAAGGTTGTTGGTTTAGGGTGATCATAAAAATGCTACTGTTTATGGGGAATTTATTATATCAGATTTGGTGTTATTGCGGCTTCAATAGACTTCCGAGAAGCAACTCAAGCCCGGTTTAGGGTTCATAGGGCTTAGAACTGATCCCTAAGATATCCTTTCCCAAAGTGCGAGAAGCCAAGCAGCAAACCGGTGCCAGCACCATCAAGGCTCCGGGACGAAGACGGCGTAAGTACATTAATGCCAGCCTGAAGCGGGCATAGATCTGCTTGGGATGTTGTACACGTACTAGCTTGGCTGGATTTTTTTGCATTAGAGGAACAAGATTCCCCAGGGAGTCTTGAGGTCGTTGGTGTCGCTCTCGTTTATATCCATCATCCGGCTGTTCAATCCTCTGGACATTGCCTCTCGGTGCACCACCTCGGTTATTCAGAAACAGGCAACTAGGAAGGTCTCACAAGACCATATGCTATCTGTGCTGCTGCTTCGCCTGCAAAGTACTCGACAACGTCGAGGTCGTTGCTTTTGCTGCACTAAGTTATCGCACATCATGCAAGAAGAGGAGTGTTTGTGAACAGCCGTATAGCCAAGACTCCAGCGGCATGAAGCACATCATCATGAGGATCACGACCATGGGGCGAGAACTGAGTTGTCAAAAGCTGGAATCAAGAGGGGCATGTGGGTGATATATGTGCAGGTGTAAACTTGATTGATATGGGAGTTTCCGACAATAGGGGACCCTAATATAGTAGTAGGATCCTGAGTATAATTACCCCTAATTCTCGGAAACTCCCATATAGTGGACCGTTAATTGATTCAATGTCCTGTACGTACCCTAAACCCTAAACCCCTAAACCCTAAACCCCTAAGCCCTAAACCCTAAACCTTGAGGTCAATTCACAACAGTCGAATTAGCTATCAGACATAGGAGACCCAGCTGTGGTTGGATATTGCAGTGCAACACCGAATTATGTACGTGTTTTGTGTGCCTTGTACTGAGACTACAAACACAGAGTGAATTGGAAGCACTTGTCTCGAAGATCAAAAGCCCTAAAGCCTGAACCACCTTTAAACAATCCGAGAGTTAAGAAACATCAAGAACAAAACCGGAAGCGTGAAATTGATCTGAGGCAAGCAGCACTCCCCGCGCCAGGAGTTCACGAACCCGGGGATAAGGCCCCGGACGAAAAGCCATGTTCAAATCTGGGAGTTCCTGATAACTATAGGATATCATTACAGACGCCCCATACAGTTCATGGGATCGTCATGACAAGGACTCCATAGATAGTCGCAGCTCGATTATTTTGGCAGCAGCCGTATACCGATTAGATGTATATAAGATCTATTCAAGAAGCCCCTGAATTATGCACAGCAGAAACGACACAGGGTCGCTCGTATTGGTCACACAGTTCTCTGATCAGGGCCAAGCACTGCAGACACAAAGGCGGCAGTAGGCACAAGCCATTAATGACAATGGATTATTTGTGGCAGGGCTGACAGTCACTGCGTACCTCACTTTCGTCTGAGTCCCCGTCGCGATATCAGGCAGAGCAAGCAATGCTTGCTTCACAAACAAATTATCACATGCCGTGGCAACACATGCATGGTGCTTTGCAAAAAGCACCAAGCTACACTCAGTTGATTAGCTCATGGATTTTCAAGTCAAGACATAGCGACATAGCAGGCTCTAGGGTTTAGGGGTTTAGGGTCTGTTTAGGCTTTAAGGTTTGGGGTTTGTTTAGACTTTGGGATTTAGGGGTGTGTTTTTGGGCTTCAGGATTTAAGGTTTAGGGTTTGTTTAGACTTTGGGGTTTAGCAGTCTAGTTGGGCTTCAGGGTTTAAGGTTTATAGGGTTCGTTTAGACTTTGGGGTTCAGGGGTGTCTTTGGGCTTGAGGATTTAAGGCTTAGGGTTTGTTTAGACTTTGGGGTTTAGGGGTGTATTTGGGCTTCAGCATTTAGGGTTTAGAACCATTGTAAGAAGCTCACAGCATGCATGTGGCCTGCTGGGTATGGCTATGAATTAAGCAAGCGATCACAGAGGAACAAGTGCACTTCGAAGAACAGACATAAAGAGAGCTTTATGAAATCTCTCACCAAAGTAGCTGGTGCACCGCATCAAGAACCGCTTGCGAGCAAACTTGAAACACGGTCGGAAGTCTGTACCGTAGAAGCCAAGACACCTTCGGTGTGCCCCTCACAGTCGTCGTCTCTTCTTGTCCGGGATATCCATGACCAGAACCCTGGGATAAGGCAGGAACTGGCTGGTAATTATAGGGTCAGTTTGTAGAGAGGGCAATTAACCGTAATTTGAGACGAGCAACTCTCTGATGGCAGAATGCTTCCACAACTTTACTGCATCCTCAGCTGTGCGATTGTACCATGCACCATAGTGAAACCGCACATGCAGACCCGGCAAGACGAAGCATCCGAGGTGCCATGTAGCCGAGGCTGTACTCAGAACGAGCCGTCCTACAAAAGAATTGCAAGGATTCGCTAAGCACGAAAGAGTCAGGGCAATTTCTAATGACGTGTGCAAAAGTCAGTCTTGATGAACTGCTGCATGGCATTCCAGAGCGGGCCGCTATTGGGGTTGCCACGCTTCTTCGTCTTCTTCTTGGTCTCCTGTGTTGGAAAACAGTGATAATTTGAAGATATGCATGTTTCCCAAGTTATCACATTAAGTCTGTGCTCCTGATCATCATCTTCGGCTGGCTGGTCGCTCGACCCTGCGAGCGGTCACTAGTGACTGTGATTGAGTAATGTCGGAAACCAGCACCCTTTTGATTACAGCCCTGCGATGTCCTGGGTCTTTCTCACCTTCTTCTGCTCCTTGCCCTTCGTCACCTTCTTCTGCTCCTTGTCCTTCCTCTCCTTCGTTGCCTTCGTCTCCTTCGTCTCCTTCCTCTCCTTCCTCTTCCTCGCCGCCTTCGAACGGCTCCGGCAAGTCATCCTTAAGAGCAAAACAAAACCACGACTTTCCCAAACGGCCTTTCATATCACTCTTTGGTTTAATCGAGAAGCTTCGGTCGATCTCGCAGGCGCTGCCGGCGCCACTGCCGCCGATGCTGGATCTGCAGAGGGGCGACAAGCGGCAGGCATCCACTTTTGAGTCAGAGCTCAGGAAAGATTGGGTTTTCAACAGCAGGGGTCCGCACTCGATCTGTCGCAAGGATGAAGAAGCAAAGCCAACCCCAAAACCGCACACCCATCAGCATTCCGAGCCACTGCCAGGAGCAGCGGTGAGCAAGCCATCGGGCCCGACGACGGAGTGGCCGTGATATTCCTGAAAGAAAGCGGCCAAGGGTGTGGGGGTGTTTCAGGGCAAATGTGCTGAGAATTAAATTAAAGGTATAGGGCTTATAAGGTTCCAGGGTGGAGGATTTAGGGTTTAGGTTCAGGGGGTTTGGGCTTTACGAGGCAAACCAAGATCAGATTATTGAAGACTGGGTTCTTTCAAATCAGCATTCTCGTCCGTAGGCCACATCATCAGGGAAGGACCTTCAGTCTCCAGGGCTGGGGATCACGTGAATCAAAGTTTGCCCGCAATGTATAAACAAGCCGTGCAACCGGTGATCGCAACTTTCTCGGGTGATGCCTGCCGTGGGAGAACAACTATAGTTTTCTGGGTTTAGGGCTCTGTCAGGAATAGTCTTTTTACGGTTTAAAGGTATGGTGGCTAATAGGTATGTACAGATCCCCTTAATCCCTGCACCCAAGGACCCAGAGCTTTGACCCATAATGATTATGATCTGTAGTATACATATATACTATCAAAACATAGGATACTCATACACACGTATACACACATATCGACATACATACTTACTGATTTACTTTTCTATTGATTTGACTGCCTTGAAATGCAGCCCATGAGCTCCAGGCCTTTGTAGGGTAGGGGTTACAAGGGCTTAAGGTCCCATCCTTCCCAAAGTATCATTACAAACCAATCTAAAGTTTGCGAATCGAATCAAAAGCCCACCTCTTCGCCAGCAGCCGGGGGTAGCACTCCTGCTCGCATACAGCATTTCTGAGCACTATATGACTTGATTTTGTTAACTTGCACTTGCGACACACAATGCTCCTGTTGCTGCGGTCGTGTTCTCCGGAGGGGATTTGGTTTTGATTCTGAGCCTCATCTTGGTTTTGTACTGCTCACTTGGATCCAGTGATGGAGGGTTAGCAGCGATGCTTGCAACAACATCCATTACGGTAGCCGCCGGAGGCGAGGAAATGCGAGGGATCGCTCCTGACGGCCAATATTGTACACAAAGATATTATTGGATGATCGAAAGTAACCAAATAGAATTCTTAATCTGGCGATGGTCCTTGAGCAGCGCTCTTCTCGGGGCTCTCGCCGCTCTTTTTGCGCTCAAACTTCTTTTCGCGAAGTTTCGGTCCCACTGCATCCTGTCAGTTATTGTCACTTTCACAGTACGGAATTGCTCAAGTTTAATACGACTAGGACCAGGCCTTCAGCTCCTTGAGCCATTTCAAACGGGCCCCTCCCGTTTTTTTGGCTTCACGAATGACATGTTGTGCCTTAGTATCACGTACTTTGTATATGCATGTCGAAGCTGTGCATTGGCATCCGTAAAGCGTAGCGGCCGAGAGGCCATCGACTTCAGCGCACTGGCTTGGCTGTGAGCTAGCTGAACCAACGGAGATTCAGATTCCTAAGGGCGCCCAAGATCAGGAATCACAAGCCAATGTTATAAACCACTAAACATTTCAGGCAAGCACCTTGATGCCGTACTTCTGCATGATGCAGAAGTGCAGCTGGTCAACCGAAAGCACTTTGTTGAGCTCCGTGAACGCTTTCAGAATCCTTATAGGGCTCAGGTTTTCAGTTGAATATCGCACCTGTGGATGTAGGACTGGAAAAGAAACATTCTTTATCAGTAGTGTTGACCATAGCAAGTTGCGCGAGAACCACGGCACTGTTCTTTTGAAGTAACTCGTTTCTCTGCGGTGCCGCTGCACCTTCGACTGCAGCTAGATCCGGAGCCACGATAAACTGCTCCTGGGGAACTGCAAAATTCAAAAGCAGGCTTATACTCTCAGACGTGGCACCTAATCCTAATCTGTATGCTGCAAGCAGGACACAAGAGCCACCGTCACATCGCCCAAAAGGGCAACGACACGTACCGGCTCTTGGGACTTCTTGAACCTCACCAGGTCCCCGTAGTAGGTCGAAGGACTCGAAGCATCCGCAGGTTCATCCGCCATTGTCGAGACAAACCGAAGGCCTATCGATATTCCAAAAATCGATAGCCCGCGTGGAACAATTCTGAATGTAAATTGGGTAGGAAGCCTTAAGAGCTGAAGGCACACCTCCTTGCTGCATGAGCCGTGTTGCTTCGTGGCACGGCGATACACATGCATGCTCGCTATCTAACCCCACACAATTAATTCCCGATGTTCTGGTGCTACAGATCCTCACAAGATATCCATCGACTGAACTGCGGTTTGGACCGGCAACCTGAACACCGGCAACCTGAACTTATATAGGACGAAACCATCAATCTGTTCCAGTATGTACTGATTCTGTTTTTACTGCTACGGGCGGGCCACATATCTAAATTGATCTGTTCAGATATGGGCGGCGACCCCCCCATATCCGACCAGATGTTTTGCAATAGTAGATGTACAGATATATCCTGATGTACATATATGCACGGGAATATATGGACGTATGCTAGACGGCCGGCAAGGATGCTCTGCAGAAACACCAAAATCATGATAGCCTGCGCTTCAACACATGTTTCCACACAGGGATCTTAGGATGAGCGCTGGTACGTTGACACATTTCAGCCACGAGCGTCTCGAAAGCGAGCAGTACCACACGGGTTCTCGGATTGGTAAAATCAGCTTCCTTGTCCAAAACTCATTCTCCAGGTCGAAAGCACAAATTCCAAATCAAAAGGACAAATTCCAAAAGTACAAAACAACCCTGTTTTTTTAAATTTGCTCTTAGAGCAAATTTTAACAAAAGAACAAATTTAAACAAAGGACAGGCCTGCAGGTTGGATGCCATCCAACCTCTGGTTGAAATGTACGCGAAACGTCAATCTCTGCAGGCTGCTGGGTAGTTGGATGCCATCCAAGCTCTGGTTGAACAACCAGCCAAACGTCAAACTCTGCAGGCTGCTGGGCAGTGGGATGCCCTCCAGGCTCTGGTTGAACTTGTCGCCAAACGTCAATTCCTGCAGGCTGCTGGGTAGTTGGATGCCATCCAAGCTCTGGTTGAACTGGCAGCCAAACGTCAATCTTGCAGGCTGCTGGGTAGTTGGATGCCATCCAACCTCTGGTTGAACGCGAAGTCAAACGTCAAACTCTGCAGGCTGCTCGGTAATTGGATGCCATCCAAGCTCTGGTTGAACTTCCAGCCAAACGTCAATCTCTGCAGGCTGCTGGGTAGTTGGATGCCATCCAACCTCTGGTTGAAGCTGTAGCCAAACGTCAAACTTTGCAGGCTGCTGGGTAGTTGGATGCCCGCCAAGCTCTGGTTGAACTGGCCGCCAAACGTCAAACTTTGCAGGCTGCGGAGCAGTTGGATGCCAATCTCTGGTTGAACTGGCAGCCAAACGTCATACTCTGCAGGCTGCCAGGCGGATGCCCTCCAAGCTGTGCTAGAAGTCGTCGCCAAACGTCAAACTTTGCAGGCTGCTGGGTAGTTGGATGCCATCCAAGCTCTGGTTGAACTGGCCGCCAAACCTCAAACTTTGCAGGCTGCTGGGTAGTTGGATGCCATCCAGGCTCTGGTTGAACTGGCCGCCACACGTCCACCCGCCAAACGTCAAACTCTTCAGGCTGTTGGGTAACTGGATGCCCTCTAACCTCTGGTTGAAGCTGTAGTCAAACGTCAGACTTTGCAGGCTGCTGGGTAGCTGGATGCCCTGCACGCTCTGGTTGAACACCCAGCCAAACGTCAAACTCTGCAGGCTGCTGGGCAGTGGGATGCTCGGATGCTCTCCAGGCTCGGGCTGAACTTGTCGCCAAACGTCAATTCCTGCAGGCTGCTGGGTAGTTGGATGCCCTCCAAGCTCTGGTTGAAAAAGGAGTCAAATGTGAGTGACATCGTTTCGTTCAGGGGCAGCTACATCAGACACCGTCTTCTTCTCGAGTAGGTGCTCCCAAAGCATCGCGACAAGACCCGCGCCAAGTCGTCGCACCACGCACCAGATCTCGTCATGCTGGACTTGATGCAGCAGCGGCTGGCACTGATCGATGACGCAGCCACTGGATGTAAGAACAAGTAAACCTGCAGGGTGGCCGGCTGCGGCTGCGATCCGTTCGGCTACTTCCCGCCCCGTTTCGGCAGAATCGACTTGCAGCTCAAAGCTGGAACCTGCCAGGCAACGAACGCTCACGGGCCGCTTGGCTCTGTGCGGAACGGCCTCTGCAGGCTGCGGTACGCTCGCCTTCGGATGCATGCAACCGGCTATCGCGTTGCCCATTGCGTTGGGGGGGGGGGGGGGGGGGGGCGCTTCCCTGAGGCGCTACGATTAGAAGCCCGGTAGTTGGCAGTCACTGATGTCTGGACCCTTTCTTTACAGTTTTCTTTGTCTCCTGGTTGCGCATCTCTTGCACATTTTAACTTCAGAACTCAAGAATTCCCGTATTTCATCGAAGGATCCAAATCGAAACGCTGGTGAACCAAGAAGAGGAACGACTGAGATCTAGGTAGCCCTAAGCTCTAAACCCTAGGGTTTTGGAGAAGCCCTAAACCCTACTTGGAGGATCATGGGGCTTAGTAAGTAGGGTTATAACCTTAATTGGGGTTATAAGTTATTACAACTGTTGCCTTACTTGTAACCCTTTAAGTAGACCCTAAACCCTAAATCTACAAACTAAGACGGCACAACACAGTCGCGCCTGTGCTCGCACTGCGGGCCCTCTGTTTCGCCAGCTGTCGACGAACGCTTGTGCCTTCAGATACACGTCGTGGGGCTTTCTATGCTGGGCAAGGAAGAGAAGAAGCTCCTGATTCAGAATCGATCTTGGATTTACACTCGTTCAAAATCTTCTCTTCCTCTCGAAATGTCAGTCTGATTCCTGACTTGATCTGATCCCACCAACTCGCCGCTTTCAGTGGCTTGGTGAGGAGATCTGCAAGCTGCGCCGTGGTCGGCGTCCATGCGATCTTTCCAAAATGGCTTAAGTCGCACCGAATCGAAGCTAGGTCTATGGCAAGCCTCTTGCACGTCGGGACCCTTGGGATCCCCTCTCTCATAAGATGATCATACAAACTCTTGCAGTCACTGACAAACCTCGCTGGGAACTTGGTGTTCCCTTTAATGAGCTTCCCGTCCAGGAGGGTCTGCAGGAACTTGAGAATGTACTCGGAGGTCTCAATCCCGTAGGCACACGCCATCGTCTCCGCCTGGAAGGTGGATCTGCAGACCCTTTCGCACGCACCGCTCTTCCAATCGAGGATGCTCATAGGGGTCTGGTGTCCTCGTAGAACCTTGTCCTCCCCGAACATGAAGAGGCACCCGAGCTGAGAGGCAATTGAGGAGTTGGCTTTCTTGGCTTTCTTGGAAAGGAGGCCGTGCGGTCCACCTTCGATCAAACCTTGCTTCTCCTCATCCTCGTCGAGGGCGTAGAAGGGGTCCTCTTGATCTTGTGGGCAGTTTGCCCATCCAGCATCATGGTAGCAGATGAGCAAGGCCTTCTCAAAGTCGACGGGGTAGATGTAGACGCCCTCCTGCTGGTGCTCCAGGGCCCGTTGCGCGAGGAGGTTCGTGAACCGGATGTCTCCGATGCATGGGTCACGTTGACACTGCTGACTCATAGACACGCCGACTTGTAGATCTGGACGTGATTGTGAGGCCAGCCATGACAATGCCCCGATAAGGGACATGTTGTCCAGCCTCTGGGTTTCGGAGGCCGGTTCCCAATCCTTCGCACCCTTCTCGACCTCGACGTTGAAAAGTCGAGTGCTCACGTAGGACTCCTGGCTCACCTTGATGCGGTCGGGCTGAATGTCCACGTAGGATCCCACATACTCGAAGGAACCAGTTTCCCATTCGTCGATGGGAAACTGCTTGCTCAGCTCGCGCTTCAAGCAGGCGCATAGTCCATCATTCCCGATCAAGAGAATATCGTCGACGTGGACCCCAAGGTAGGCCTGGGGCTTCCCGTAGGTCTCGTAGCCGTTCTCGTCGGTGTTCACTTGGTGGACCGTAAAAATGCAGTTGTCGAGCTCGCACTGCTTGATGGCCCACCTGACCCCTTGGTCATCAACGATCGTCAAGGTCTTGAGGGTGCCGCTGAGCTTATGCCACCAAGCTGCCGGGGAGTCCACAAGCCCAAAGATCGGCTTCCGAATTCTGAGGAGCTGTTCCGGGTGGAGTCCGCCCAATCCGCACTTGGGCTGTTTCAGGAAGAGCTCTCGGGTGAGTTCCTCGCCCGACAAGAAAGCTGCCGTGACGTCGCCAGCATGCCCGGACCATCCATGTTGAAGATTGCTTGCCAGGATCTGGAGCAAAAGCAGGATGCCCTGCCTCGAAATGGTAGGAGCATGGGTGTTGAGGCCCTTGAGCAAATCGGGGTCGCGATGTCCTCCTATCACCAACCTGGCTTTGGCCTTCCAGTCGATGGCTGGATTGCCACGTCGCTTGCTCCAATTCTTGTCACGGTAGGCGAACCTGCTCGGCAGGATACGGTCCGCTTTCGTGGTGGCGATCTCGCGACTTTCCTCGAGACTCAGAGGTTCCAAAGCTCCATGGTCGCGATGCTCTTGATACTGCTTGGCCTCCGCGTTCTTGAAAAGGTCTTTGGCCTCAGACGGGATGAGGTTCCATGGAATCTCCTTCTCGAGTGCCTTTTCACGCCCTCTTGCTGTCTTCGCGAACTTGGCCATGAACGCGCTGTCGTGGTGCTCGTGGGAAGAACGGCTCGGTCCGGGATCATCTCCGGGCCCTTTCTTTCGCTGTCGCTTGGTAACCGGCGGAAGCCGGGAGGGTCCCTTGTCCCTCTTGTTGTCCCCTGTTGCCGAAGGGGAGGACGGGTCGCCAGGTAGTTCTCCGGGATCGATCAAGATCTCCTCAGGGACATGGTCGCCATCGCCCATGGCAGTGTCGTCCACGTAGATGGTCTCGTCGCTGAAGTCCATGTCCAGGATCCGTTCCAAGTCTTCTCGCGTGGCACGTAAGGAAAAGGCTGCACCAAGTTCTTCTCCACTCGCCATCCGGAGGTGCTCCGGTGAAGTGAGGTGGCAGCGGCCGGAGTATGAGACCCACCAGTTGGGCCCCTCCCGTCCTATCAAGACGCCTGGTCCATACCATTCCCAGTGTTTTTGGGACTTCGGCTTTCGGTAGATGTACACGTGGTCCCCGGTGACCAGCTCAGGGCCTGCAACACGGGAACGATGGTGAAGAGCCCTTCGGAGAGTGGCGTCGCTTTGGCACTTGTAGTAGGCGGTCCGGGCCGAGTTCCTCAAGGCAAACTCTCGGGCTCGGAGACGATCTCGAGTGAGGACGCTCTCGAAGTGTTCACTTTCGGCTGGAAGTGTCAAGTCCTCTGGGAGTTTAGGTTCTCTCCCCCACACGGCCTGTGCCGGGCTTGTGCCCGAGCTCCTTCTCAAAGAATTCATTGCAGAGTTGATCACCGTGGCTGCCATGGCCGCCTCATCGGACTCGATCGTCTTATCGTCAACGACCTTCTCCCACAGCTGCTTCCAGGTGCGAATGCATCTCTCGACGGAGCCCTGCTGATAGTGGGCTTGCGCCGCGATGGGCCTGATCCAGGTGCCATGCCATTCACTGAACCTTGCCAGGCCGGCTTGCAGGCCTGTCTCCAAATCAAGGATGAGGGTTCCTGGGGGCCCGAAAGTAGACGCCCAAGCATCACAGAAAACCTTCTCGAGGGCCTCGCCAGAGTGTCCTTCAAGTTCTCGCGCCACACAGAATCCCGTGCCGAGGTCGATCACCATGAGGAACTCGACTCGGGTCTTATGAGCGTCATACACCGAAAAGGCATCGACCGCGACCAGCTGGTTGAACTCCAAGAGGGAAGGGAGCGAGCTCGGCTTCGCCGACTTCGCTCGGTGGTGCCGGTCGCAAACCTCGCATCTAAGACGTTTGGCTGCTTCTAGAACTTCGGGAGCGCTTCCTGCCATTCTCAGGTGACGCACCAGATCGTCGTTCCGGGGATGAGCCAAGTTCTGGTGTAGTCGGCGTAAAGATGCCTGCACGACGGGAGGAATCTTCTTCCCGGCCTCGAACGTGATAGCACTTGCTCCGCGCGATTCGTGGAGCCGGTCCGAGGGAGTATCTTCGGAGATCTCGGTCACGGCGCAGGCTTCCTCAGAGGTAGTAGATCTCGTTGGTGTAGTTTGAGATGAGGCCAGGTAGGTCTCAAGCGCCCCGACCTTTTCCGTTCCCACAAATGACACCGAGGTCTGAACCAAGTTGATCTTGAGCTCTCGTCTCCCATTGCGGCTTCGCTCTAGAAGTAGGTCTCCCTCTTCTCGCATGCGGTCAAGGGTGGAGGTCTCCCAGATGGAAGCGTCGTCGGGCGCTTCCCAGACCACGGCCCTGCCTTTCTTGATCTGCTTGTAGGCAACCTCCTCTAACTCTCGTAGACGTCCGATAGCGATGTCACCGTGGATCCAAATAGTGGCTGGGGCGAGCTCCTCGACAGTCTCGTTGAGCCTAGGGAGGAAGTCCTCGTGATAGAGGTCTTCCGGAAGGACTGAGGAAATCGCACTCCAGAGTCCTCGTCCAGCCTCCGACTTCCAGGAGCGCAACAGAGTCCGATCCCCGAGAGACAGGCAGAGTCTCTCCGGTCAACGTCGCAGCAGCAGCTGCGCAGACTGTAGTGAGGGCAACCAAGCGCTTGGCAGCCTTCCAGATCCCTTTTCTCACGCTCTTGGCAGGGCGATCGGCCTTGTCGTAGTGGTCCGGTTTGGGTGCCAGGAGCCCATCGAGTCCCCGTAGAGGGAAAGCCCAGTTCTCGTAGTTCGTCTCTCTCACTTTGGTCCGCACATGCAATCCCGCGGGTAGAGAAACATGAGATGCACCAACGGTTCCCTTCCCATGGCTCGGTGGCGTGCTTGCTCTTGGGATCGAAGACGTAGGGCTTCTCCTTTGTGTCGATGGAAGCTCCTCGGAAGGCGTGGCCGGCCTCGTCGTAGTAGTCCTTGGCGAGCTCGGTCGGAACTCGAGGGTCCTCTAGCCAAAGATTTCCCCCAGTGAAGTCACCGAGGGTGTAGGTGAGAACCTGGCTGCCGGAAAGGTTTTGCACGTCTTTATGGAGGCGGGTTTGGACGTTCTGGGTGATGAGCACCGAAGTCCACATCGCCTGTGAGGTCCTCCATGCGTCCTTGGAGAGCTCGCGCATCGCCTTGTTGATATACTTGATGGTCCAGGGGAAGTCCTGGGTCTGCCGAGATAGCCCTCTCAGTCCTCCGTGGGTCCACATTCCGCCCAAGAAGGTCTTCACTACCTCGGTAGGCTCGCCACACACACCGCGATGTCTCCGGGTCCTTTTCATAGGGAGGTAATCGAGCAGGCGGACAAGGCTCTCTGAGGAAAAGGACTTTTTACCCAGGAGCTCCCGTGCTAAGGCTTCGCACTTCATGCCCTCGGTGCGGTCGCCTCCAGACGCTTCGCATGTCCGGCTTTCGTAGGTGTCCTTAGCGTCGCGCCCACCAGGATGTTCTGTGAGAGCAGCTCCAGTGTACATGGCCTCGAACTCATCTTCTACCCCAGTGGTGGACTCCTCCTCCTGGAGAGCGTCGGGGATGTTACCAAGGTAGACGCCCTCGTGGTCTGCAGAGTCCTTCTCATCGAGGTAGTGGCCGATGGTGTTCTCGTGGGACTGGATCTCCTCGGGGTAATGCTTCACTTCACCTGGTGCTGAAGAGCATGGGTCGTGACCTAGGATCGTAGTTGAAGGGACGCCCTCGTGGTCTGCGGTGTCCTTCACGTGTTCTCTGGGAGCTGGATCACCTTGGGGTCATTCCGGACACCCTCGTGGTCTGCAGAGTCCTCGTTGAGGTAGTGGCCGATGGTGTTCTCTGGGAGCTGGATCACCTTGGGGTCTGGGTCCGCATTGTGGGCCGCTGGCGCCTGTGGACCCTGGTGCTGGCCCTCGTTCTCCTTTTCGGCCTTTGGTCGTGCCCCCGATGGCGGACTCGCCATTCCCACCATGTCCCACTGCTCGGAGGGGTCCGGGGTGTAGGGCACGGTCGCCGTGTCCTCGGAGTCCAGGTAGCCACCCAGGGTCGCCGGAGACGGAGTCGCCTGCTTGGCTTCCAAGTCGCGTTTGCTCCAAACCGCAAACATCTTCAGGTCCTCTTGAGCCCCAGGATTGGCCTCGGTCTCGCGAATCGCCCAGGTTCTGTAGCTTGGTGGAGTCTCCTGACACATACTGCCCCGGTACCGTCCGAAGGCGAGTATCGTCTGAGCTCCCGTTGTCCCGAAGAACCCTCATCAGCTCCGGGACCTCCAGGTGCGCGTCCGCGGCGGCCTTCATGAGCTGGTCGAGGGTCATCTTCGACAAGGAGGGCGGCGGCGCTCCCGGCACACTGGGTCCATCTCGTTGAGTCCGGTCTTCTTGGATCACTGCCTGATCTCCGCGGCGGTCCACTTGGGATGGAGCTGTAGCCCTCGGGCTTGAGCTTCCTTCACCAACTCGTCCTTGGTCAGTTCCCATAGGGTCTTCGGGCGAGTCACCGTGGGAGCTGTCAGCAGAGGAGCCGTGGAGCGCGATGCCATGGGGTCCTTCGAATTGCAAAGGGTCGCTGGTGCTCGACATTCGAGCGCGGCTAAAAACTGTTCTGCCGACCCAAAGCATCGGAAGTACAGTGTCGTCACCTGGGTCGCGCCACTCTCCATGTATGGGATGATACTCACGATGAGTCTTACACGATATAGCTTCCGTGGTCCTGAGGCTTCCAAGTGCTCGTAGCAGGGCCGCTTTGTGTCCAGGGGAGGCTGTGTTCCACTTCCCGGGATTGAATAGGGTTTTCCTAGGAATCACATGGATCCTAATCAACACCTGCTCGCCCTCAATCCAGAAGTCGTTGCTAGTAGCCGTGCTATTCCACCAAGTCATAAAGGCAACGGGACTGAGCTTGTCGGCAGTCAACATACCTCTGACAGCGGAACCCAACTTCTTAGGATGGAATACGGATGGCTCTCCACTCAAACTTTGGGTCGAAGGCCTCGGGGAGGATCTCGTAGGGCAGGCTGATGACTCGACTACTTGCTCGGGTTCTGTGGAAGACTGCTGTGGACTCTGAGGAGAGGTGGTTCTTGCGGACTGTTCAAGTGGGTTTGGCTCAGAAAAACAGACAGTCTCTACTGCAAAGGCCGTGTATTGCGCACGCTCAGAAAGGATCTTCACCTCAGGTCCGTCCCAGCCGCCGCCTTGGGCGAGGGCGCCATCTACAAATATCGGCTTGACAGGGACCGCGGGGTGGCCCGTCTCCGTGATAACAAGCGCGAGGTCCTTCACATTCAACTTGCGGAAGTCAGCCTTGTTCTCACTGACATCGAGGACCATTCCGAGACGACCGAGCACGGGTCGGGACAGCAGTAGGGGCACGTCCCCATTGACGACCGACACTTTGACGAGTATTCCATGCCCTCCGATGTCAAAAGTCAGAACCACGCTGTAGACGGCCTCAAACACACGAGAGGCCCCGAACTTGAAAGACTCCCGGGCCTCAAGGAAGGGCGGGCGGAAGCCGACTTTCTTTGCCTCGTTCATGTAGGCCTCAATCCAGGGGACTCCTGCAACACTCCGGCTGCAGGCTGTGTCCGTGATCCCCAACAAGGAACAGTTCTCAGCGGGCTGGGCCAGATCCCATGTAACATGCACCACGTGACAAGGGAAATTCACCTTGGGATTCCTTTCAGGGGTGGAAGCACTGGTAGTAGAGCCCGAAGTAGCCCCCGTAGCCGAGCCGTTCCCGCCGGGATGCCCTTTCCCCTGACCCTGGTTAAACACACATTGCGGATCTCGGTGCCAGTGGCCGCGCTTCTTGCAGACGGAACAAAAGGATCTCTGTTTTGCAGCAAGGAGCTTCTGGTGCATGGCCTGCTTCATGCTCTCGGCATCATTGCCTCTGAGTTTCAGGGTGTCACGGTACTTTTGCCGAGCCGTCTCATGAGTAACGTAGGCCTCATAAAGCTCTGCCGCCACAGATTCAGGGACGACCTCAGAATCGTCCTCTGCGCCAGCATTCTCCTCGTCGAGGTCGCCGGCCGCCTCCTCGTCGAGGGCGCTCGCCATCAGGGCACTTTGCGGTTTGCGATTGTTCCAGGGCTTAGTACTCGTAGAGGTTTCCCATGGTTTGCGAAGGGATCTATCCTGAACTATGGAAGCTTGCTTCAGGAGCTTCAGGTTGTAGACGTTACCGACGGAGGCAAGGAGGTTGAGCTCGGCGCTTTCTTCCAAGCCCATCCGGTCCACCAGGACCCACGCCGAGGCCAGGTCCGGGAGGACGCAGCCGACCTCGTTCAACCTGGCCAGGCATCTGTCGAAGTCGGACAGGTAGTCTCTCACGGACTGTCCGGGCTTCCTTCTCAGCTTTCTGAAGAAGTCAGACAGGCACCGTCCCACCTGTGTGATCTCGACGTCGAGGTAGCGGTCCTTGATCCAGGCAAGCAGGTGGTCCACTCCATCCGCCTCGGCAAGGCGGTCGACGCTGAGGCGTTCTGCCTCAATCCACGCTTTCCCCGTCAGATTCTGGTACAAGGTCAACGCTTGAGCTTCAGGGGCCATTCTCGTCATGCGCCTCCATGCCGCGACCTGTCGTAGATAGGACCGGGCCGTCTGGCCCAAGTTCTCATCTCCAGCATCCATCGTGCCAGAGAAAGTAGGCACCACCATCTTCTCTGAGGGACCGCGGATCCCTTCCTGAGGGCCGCGAGGTCGTGGCCCGCCCAGCTCCGCGGGAAGCGAAGTCGGCCTCCATCCATCCGGAAAGCCTCCTGCCCCGTCAACTCGAGGATCGCCCGAACCTCGAGGAGGATGAAGATCTTGCGCGCCATCTCCGTGCTGGCAGTGCCCCTTCGGATTGCCGTTCCCCTGGCAATCAGTCGCTGATCCCGACTCCGTAGAGCCAGTGCCCCAAGTTTCATCACGACTCCACCTCCGGGCGGAGTCCCATCGAGGCTCCCAAGAGGAGTCCCATTGACTCCCGTTTCCCCAAGAGTAGCCCCACCAGCTCTGCTGATTTCTACTCCACTGCCATCGATCATCACCGCCCTGGCCTTTGTCATCTCCAGCTCCTGAGCTGGACTCCTTGGGAGTCCACTTACTTCCACCGCCCTGATCATCACGAGAGGACCGGTCACCGCCTACGTCCCCGGGTACAGCATGCGCGCCATCACTGTGTTCTTGCGGAGGATCGGGTACAGGAGGTCTTAGGGGTTGGCCAAGGTTGCCGTAGAAACTTTCCCCATGGAGTTGCGACATCGCACAAAGAAGCGGAAAAGACTGGACCTAAGGAGCCGAAGCTCCGCTACCAATCTACAAACTAAGACGGCACAACACAGTCGCGCGTGTGCTCGCACTGCGGGCCCTCTGTTTCGCCAGCTGTCGACGAACGCTTGCGCCTTCAGATACACGTCGTGGGGCTTTCTATGCTGGGCAAGGAAGAGAAGAAGCTCCTGATTCAGAATCGATCTTGGATTTACACTAAACCCTAAACCCTAAACCCCAAAACCCCAAAACCCTAAACCCTAAACCCTAAACCCTAGACCCTAAACCCTAAACCCTAAACCCTAAACCCTAAACCCTAAACCCTAGACCCTAAACCCTAAACCCTAAACCCTAAACCCTAAACCCTAAACCCTAGACCCTAAACCCTAAACCCTTATAGTACCCATACAGGTTCCCTTATGTAAAGGGACCCCTTAAAGGAACCCCAATTACTACTGTTGATGGTCAAAATCCTGCATTACCCATAATAAGGAATATACCATAATTCCCATAGTTTAGGGTCCTTAAGGTCATGCAGGATTTATATCATCAACCGTAAGTCCCGTGATCCTTTAGGTAGGGCTTTTGGGTATAAGGCTTTGAGGCTTTATCCTATAGTCTCCATTCTAATTCCCGTTTTTGGTTTAACCAACTTTATAGCAAGGGTCCCAAAAGGTAACCCCAAAAGGGAACTGCAATGGAGACTACAGGCTATACCCTATACAATAAGAGTCTATAATAGTGCTACTATTAAGGTCCTCATATATCTATGATGAACATTATTCAACTATTACTGAGTGGGGGCCGTACCTAAACTATAGGTAGTTATTGGGGCTGAGGCCCTGCAGTCTGCAACTATGTTGCAAGGGGTACAGTTTAGAGGTTTAGGGTTTAGACTACAGTCATAAGGGATCCTTTAAAGTGATCTAGGGGTTTACGGTTTACCATCAGAAGCAGAGTCCCAACGACGACCCCCGAACCCAAAACCCAAAACCCCTAAACCCTACAATAGACACGACAAGCACTTGGAGTTTCAAGCGTACTCCGGCTTCGTTCCTTGTGGATCCCTGGAGGTTCAACTGTGGCGGGAGACTTCTGCAGCTATTTCTCACTCTCTATGTATGTATATATATATATATATACATATGTGCACGTGCAAATATCTAGGTGTGTGTATTTATATATACATAAGTATATATACATAAATATGTATACATGCATATAGATAGATAAGCCAAGCAGCAGTCAGAGCATGTCAATCGAAACGGACCATGCGAAGTTTCTAAGCTGCGCTAGTTGCCAAGGGACGCCACCCAAGCCCCTTAATTAAGGAATATGCCTCCAATTGCAGGGGGATCCTTAACATGGGATAGAATAAGCTCTTTAGTTGGAGGGTTTTAGAGTTTCTGGGTGTTTACAGAGCGCTATAGTGATGCTATTTCATAACCCCAGTTTCCAGGTCTCTTGACACCTAAAACTCGAAGCCCTTATGCATCGCTTGTAGAATCCTTTTAATTAGTCAGTAACCCAAAGGGTCCTATGTACTGTTATGGGGGATACTTCCCTAAGTCATATAATAGTAATTCCTAATATGGAAACCCTACATGCTACTATATCGGTACATAGAACCGTTGGGATAAGTTTCCTGCTCCTGTAAGTAGGAACGTTGCGCGCCTCCTCCGACTGGTACTGTGGTGGGCCAGTGCTCTCGGCTTGGATCTCCTTCACTCGCTGGGGCTTTCGGATTCAGGGTTTAGCTTTATGTGGTTCGGGGCTCATAAGATTTACGGCTTTAGGGGTTTGGGGAGGGAAAAGGGTTCATGTTTTAGCATGGATGGTTTTGGGCTAAGAGTGGTGTGCCGTGAAAGCATTAGACAACAAATGTAATGCAACATCTACAACCTGTACCCCGACGGTTTGCAACAAGATCTATCCCACCCATGAACAGCAAAGCCGCAACACATGAAATCCGACAGCGCAAGATGAACACCACGGCTAGAGCTCAAAGGCCAAACAGCTGTCAACCCCATAATGAACCCCAGTTACCAAGTAGCTTGGAAAGTCTGCACAAAGCCTAAACCCTTCACCCAAGTTGAGCATGGTACCTAGACCTCAACACCCTAAACCCAAAACCCAAAACCCTAAACCCTAAACCGTGGCCCGAAGACCCGTCAACCCTAATCTTATAGAACCCTTTATAGGCCCCATGAAGGAACCCTGACAGGAACCTTCTAAATCCTGATCTAGATCATGGGACCCAAAGGAACCCGGACAGGAACCCCGTAAACTACAATAGGCCGTTATAGGCCACAGAAAGAACCTTTCTTTAAAGGCTCCTTGAAGGGTTTCTCGGAGCTTTCCTTGAAAATTGTGCGCCCGGCCCCCTCCACTAAACACTAAACGCTAAACCTAGTTCATGGTTAGGATAGGATTAAAACAATCAAATTTTATTCCTTATTGGGTTTAAGTACCCGTAAAAATGTGAAATGCTACCCAAGTATGACAAAGAAACCCTCAACACAGCAAACGGCACAGCTCCTGAAGCTTTGCTTGCAGCGTGCAAAGGCGGCGCCAGAGCCAGTCCTGGCGCGAGTTCAACACCTGTATTATACTGAAAGGATCATGGGACTTGGTAACTGGGTCTATAAGTAAGGTAACTACAGTTATCATTACTTATAACCACAATTAAGGTACTTATAACCCACTTACTAAGTCCCATGATCCTCCAAGTACCGTTTGGGGCTTAGGTAGGGGGCTCCTTTGCTGGGCCATTACGGGTCGCGTAAGACGCCCTGAACCATCACCCCTAAAGCTCCCCCGCAAGTGCATTGCATACCCCGATCTTCCAACAAACCAGCCGGGCCGTAATTAAGTATAGAACATCTTCCAAAGCTCGCATGAACCCTCGTGTGTGCTAAATAACAAGTTACGCTACAGTATCGCAGACATAGACATGATATGCTTGGAGACGTGTTCTTCGAGGCATATAGATGCATCTTGCAAGACTTGTACACGGGAGCCGCTTGAATCGAACGAATTCTGACTAAACTACATCTGGGCCTAAGTCTGCGGTTTGGACTCCCGAGCACAAGAATGACATCTGAGCAGCCAATATGTTAGTGGCACGGAGCCGTGATAATACGGACCATATGCGGCCTACATATATACGTATATATATATATATATATATATATACACACATACATACATACATACATACATACATACATATAGAAATATAAATATGATAGAGGTACATGTGTATATATATATATATATACACACACATACGGATAGATAGATAGATAGATAGATAGGTAGGTAGATAGATAGATAGAAATCATAGATATATCGATTGGATCCCTTCTGCATGCTATACCCCAACTTCATCGTAGCTTAATATGTTTGCCCGCAAAAGGTGGACCGTTTTGGCAACATCCCGTCGGTCCTTATCTCGAAGTTCGACTGTGGGTGCCAGAGTGCTGCGAGTGTGCTCGGGCACCGGGAAGTCCTTTACGCTGAAATGTGTCGGGCTTAAGCCTTTAACCCTAAACCCCATACCCTAGGGACTGTGGGTCTTTCGGGGTTTGGGGGTTTTAGGCCTTTCGGATTGGGTTTAAGGGCTGTGAAGCTTTCGGGGTTTGGGGTTTCAGGGTTTTTGGGTTTGGGAGATTAGCACTTCGGGATTCAAAAGCTTCGGGTTCAGGTTCAAGTCTGGGAAGGTCAGCAGGGATTAATTGGACAAGCGACGGCGTTTAAAGTTCAGCTCTTTGGTGGCTCGAGTGCAAAACTAGGTCGCAAGTGTAAGTAGGGCGGCAAAGGTTACATGCACATGACTCCTCAATGAAGATTCTGAAAATCCGCCGCCTTTATGTTCTTGGCAGCACGTGACAATTTTTCCAAACTGAATCCTATTCGCAAATCCCTACAAGTTTTATGCCACACACACCGGCCGTACCCCGACCTCAAAGTAATCCACCAAAAGACGCCCACAATATCACTAGACACCAAAGGCAAGAGGTTTGAGGTCAAAGCAAAAGCCTAGTAAGAGAGGGGTCTTAACAACTAGAACAGGGTCGGGGTGTGCCACGTGAATATTTAAGCCTAATAGGGAGAATTGGATTCCGACCCATGTCATAACCAACGCCCCGTCACTGTTCAACATCTGTTAAACCTCTTGCAAGGCAGCGGCATCGCGCTCACAAAACACCCAGAAATCTTTGCACCCTCAAAGACTTGAGCCCGAACTGACCAAAGCAGACAGGCAGAGAGACAGACAGACAGACAGACAGACAGACAGACAGACAGACACACACACACAGAGACAAACACACAGACAGACACGCATCAAACAGAGGCGCACAGCATCGCAGCCACAGGCGCCGGCGGCGCCAAGCCCACCATCGGCCGCCAGAGTGCAATGGAGCCGCCATCGAACTTGATGCGGCAAAGCAGCCTCGGATGTCGGGTGTGTACAGGACCTGCAAAGGAGAGAATAGTTCAATGCAGAGTTGCATGATTCTAGGTCAGGCGCAAGTGGCTTGACCATTGAGGAAGAGGGGCTGAGTTGTGTTTGTACGATCTGTACATGGTTTCTACTGCTCACCTAGCCACGCATATACGGGTTGTAAAGGGTCTTTGGCTGATCCTGCACCGTGCAACTTAGCACTGCATAAAGGCAGCAACTGCATGGATTCGGCACAGCACTCCTGTCCCGGCCAAGCTCGGTACGACTCTTGGTCATATGGGAACCATCGACAACAAGGCCTTCACTCAAGGCTCAATCCCTCCCTCCCATGCTGCGCATGCTTCGGCTTGATCCTGCCCCGAATATGTACTGCTGCTGTGTTCCGAGGACTCCACCGGTCAAGCAAAAAGCTAGACCCAAAAACTAAACCCTTAACCTTACGCACTGCAAAACCAAACCCTAAACCCCAAACTCAAAACAGGCCATGTCAGATCCAGGAGCTTGCCATCCAGCACGTTCAAGAATC